ACGACTGTAGCTTGAAGCTAACAGCGCAATATCATCGACGTAGCTAACTCTCCAGCTTAAACCAAGCCTACATACACCAGGTTGTTGGGTTCCAAGCACGCTAATACCTTTTACCCAATCCTGACAGTTCCCCCGACGCATCCGACGACTTCCACCGTGTGTTCCAAAGGATGTTGGTGTAGCGACGGTGAAGTGCTCGTGAATTAGTTTTAAGTGATAGTAGACTTGCACTGCACAAAATATTACTTATTGTATTCTTTTGGTAGCAAGTTACGCATTTTTCAAATGTTATACTTGAAGAAAGGGTATCTTCCGGTTTTAAAAAAGGTTCCAAATGACCGAATAATTTTTAATCCTACCGGCGGTTACACATGAATTCAAGTAAATATTGCCCTACGGTTTGAGAAAGAAGTCATATAGTCCACGTGAAATTTTGCTATGGATATGCACTAAGCTGCACATTTTATGGTTACTTTCTGAGTGTACATTTTATGGTCGGAAAAAACCTCATCATTAGAAACTATTTTGAAACCGAAAGGTACCCTTTCTTCAGGCGTAAAATTTGAAGAATGCGTAAGTTGCTACCAAACGAGCACAAGAAAGGATGTGTTACGCTTCTTTTTCTATTAAATACATTTGGATGTCTAGAAGCATCAGACCTCAATGAGAACAATACATACTTCTGACCCATAATTAATATGTTCGAATCGAAAACACATTTTAGAATTTCGGTCGACATTCCATGAGATAGGGAATTCATTGTAGATCGTTAAATCTAATTCTCTTGGTGGTTGCCACTGAACATATAACAGCAAATGGCAAAATTGGAAGCCCAAGTCCTAACACTACACTTGTGTATAAAGCGAAAGCCTAAGTTATATTCCCAACACCAGTTCCCTAAACCTAACTTCAAGCTCCAACTCTACTTCCTAGCCTTAACCCTAACCCGAATGGGACCACTTGACGGAGGCGTGAAAGGAAGGATAGAATTATAAGGGAGTAAAATTAAGTCAACTTAACGAAAATATAGGAAATTACCTATCCCATAAAATCTCAATGGAAATTCTGAAATGTGTTTTAGAATCGAACATAGTAATTACCTATGGTCGTAACATTGATTAACGTGCAATTTAATCTCAATATATTTCAGTCAGGTGAGAATGCCGGCTTTTGAACGAGATTCCCTTTGGCCGCCTGCTAAAAGTATTTTCTGTAAAAAAATAGGCTATTAAGTAGTACGTATATTTTTCATTGAGTTTGGCTGCCCTTTTAAAATAAAATATATTTTGTGTAAAAAAATGCACAATAATATTCCTTCGTTTATTCGTTTAGTAGTAAGGTACACCTTCGAATTTTATATTTGAAAAAAGGTAATCCCTCTGTTTTAAGAAAGCTTCTAAAGTGCTAAATAGTTTTGAATCCTACTGGCTGTTAGACTTGAATTCGAGGTCTGCAAAATACATGCTGTAGA